GGGCCCTGGAGCAGGGCCCGCTGCCAGTTTCCCTGATTGTTAGATGCCAGTAAAAGATTGCCCATATTATCAAATTTAGAGCGACAGTTATTGGCCCAATGTATTCCTTTTTTGCATCTAGGACAGAGCCCCGGCGCCCTCTCTTTATCATTATGCAACAGGGGACAATCTTCGCAGAAATGATTGGATTTTCCACAGCTAAAGCAATTGCGATCCCCTCTGCTGCCTGTTGACAGTCTACCTTTTGATGGGCGCAACGCAGCTGCAATCACTTGTCCCTGTATATAATGCACATCCACATCTTTACACAATCTGATGTAATCATTTAGGCTTTTGTGCCTCTGGGCTCTAAGTACTTCTTTGCAATACCGGTTTGCGTTTTCATAAGCCAATTGTTTAATAATGGGCATAGCTTGTGTGACCTCTCCAAAGATGCGTCCGGCCAGCTGTAAAAGTCTGTCAACAAAATCTTGAAATGGTTCAGAGGGTCCTTGTATCACTTTAGAAAGCTGATCCCCACCTGCTTTATTAGGCAAGCTCTTCCAGGCCTTTACAGCACAAACTGCCACTTGAGCGTATACGGCTGGATCGTATAATATTTGGGCCCCTACCCCTGCATAAGCTCCTGCTCCTGTTAGCATGTCTAGATCTCTTTGAACCAATCCAGCCTGAGCATTAAGGCAGGCCACTGTAGAGCCTGCTCTTGGAACTCTTCTCTCCATAAAAGATAATCACCTCCTGACAATACTGCTCTACACAGCTGCTGCCAATCACTGGGTGTTAAGTATTGTGTCTGGTAGGACTCTACCATGGTCATTGTGAAAGCTGCTTGTACCCCATAAGCGGAGATAGCCTCCTTTAAGGCTTTGAGATCTTTGAAATGGAGAGGGTCATGTTGTCTGAGTACCTGACCTTGCTGTTGAGGATTAGGAACTTCCACCACAGGGGCAACTAAATGATTACAGCAAAATTTGACACCGCCCCTTAATTTTTCCTCACCTTCAATCTCAGAATACATTGGTCATTCATTAAACATAGGTGGTGCTGATGGAACCAAGCTATCCGTAGTTTTAAGAGATTTTAACTTTTTCTTTAATGCTTTAATCTCCTGACATAACTTTTGTTCTTCAAACATAATTTTCTAGTCAGTGTATGCATCCTTCTTTATCTACTGAACTGCTTCAAAATTAGTCCTAGAAAAAGTAACCACCTCACAGAAAAAATAATACTAGAATTTTCACCTTTTTCTTAAAGATTTTCAAGTATTGTAGGAACAGAAGTCCATAGAAAACCAATTCAAATTTGACCTTGCTTTACCTAAGGTATGGGATAACAGGGATATCAGGGAAAAACAAAGCAAAACGTTTGCAACCAAACGAAAACAACCAATGTCCCCTTTTCTTTCTCTGCCTAGAATTGTTTATCCTAAGATTCTTGCAATCATGTTACTGTTCAATAGTTTTGCTTTTCACCTTTATTAGCCTATCAGTGTTACATTTTATACATAATATCTAGTCATCCTCTCCATAGGCTCTATTTTAGTCTCCTCTTGCTTCTTCCTCTCCTCCTATTCATGGTTCATCTTTTACAGTTCATGTTTACTTTGTATGTTTCCCATGTTTACAGATATTCTTACATATGGTCACATTCTCTTTCTTTCCTTTCTTCCTTCCTTCCTTCCTTTCTTTAGATACAGTTCATGT